TATAAAAAAAAAGTAGACAATTTTGAAATGTTTAGAAAACTATAAATTTATCAAAATATCTCATAGATTTGTGCTAGTATGGGTACTTTGGCATCTTCAGGTCATTCTAACACTAATAACAAACAGAAAAATTAACCTCGAAAAATGGAAGAGCGGTTTGTGGAAGCATCATTTTGAATGGCTTGTGCAAACATAAATGAGAGGTTTAAAATCCAATTTGAATTCAAGGGCAGAACGTTTGGGTATTTGTTTAAAAAGAATCGAAATTTCAGAAATTTTGATGAAAATTAAGTCAGCCGCGCAACTGCGTAAACGTGGGCTTTTTTCCGTTTAACTCGCAGCTTGAGTAACTTTTTTCATGCACGTATGATTTCATTTGCGTGATTTCATTTAAGAATTTGCGTGGAAAGGAACGGCGGACATGTTGAGGACTGAAGATAACTTTTGTAAATTCTGCTTTTGTATGCTTTAATGTTTTGGTGTAACAAATTATTATTTATGCGAACTTCTAAATGAAATTAATTTTTTACAACACCATTGTTAGCTTAATCACCCGAGCAATCACTCATGCATGAAATCATTCGTGCATGAAAAAAGTTACTCAAGCTGCGAGTTAAACGGAAAAAAGCCCACGTTTACGCAGTTGCGCGGCTGACTTAATTTTCATCAAAATTTCTGAAATTTCGATTTTTTGTAAAAGAATACCCAAACGTTCAGCCCTTGAATTCAAATTGGATTTTAAACCTTTCATTCATGTTTGCACAAGCCATTCAAAATGATGCTTCCACAAACCGCTCTTCCATTTTTCGAGGTTAATTTTTCTGTTTGTTTTTAGTGTTAGAATGACCTGAAGATGCCAAAGTACCCATACTAACACAAATCTATGAGATATTTGATAAATTTATAGTTTTCTAAACATTTCAAAATTGTCTACTTTTTTTTGATACACCCTGTATATAAACATCGTTGCTAAATCACCCACGCATGTCCAATATTGTAGCAAGTATACCAATACTGCAATAGACAAAGTTATTTTATCATTGGTAGTTTATATTTTCGTGTTGTGAATACGAACATGAACGTATACCAATGGTAAAAGGGAAATTGTACCAATGTTGTAAGAGTTTTCGTATCGTCAATTGTGTCATGCTGCGATTTTCTCTTGCTGAGCGCGGTCTCACGCATGCACGCTAAATGACCTTACCATTGGTAACATTTGTACGAATGGAAATTACCTTATATAACATTCCTTTACACTCGAAAACCAGTGGAAACCAGTCTTAACTCACCGCGTGCAGTGAAAGTTAAAAATTTATGTCAGGAAAACTGAGGAAGTTCAGCTGCACGTCAAGGAATATTTGAATTTATCAAACAGACAGTAAACTAACTGATTTGATAATTGTTATTTATGAATTATGTGGTCAAAAAACAAACGAATTAGTTCGTCATATTTCTTCTGGAAAACGATATTTTAATAGATTTCTGATATTAGATCTGTTGTACTTGGAATAAAAAGGTATATTACTTTGAATTTGATTGCTTTTATAGTGTATATTAAATCATTAATTTATATTAAATTTTTCAACATTCTCGTACCAACAAGGGAATTGTACTAATGTTGTAAGAGTTTTCGTATCGTCAATTGTGTCATGCTGCGATTTTTATATTAATTGGATTTTCTCCTGCTGAGCACGGTCTCACGCATGCACGCCAAATGACCTTACCATTGGTAACATTCGTAGGAATGCAAATTACCTTATTTAACATTCGTTTACACTCGAATAGACTAATAGCGAGTTTGAGCAAGGAAACGAAGTACGAAGACGAAGACGTGTTTCGCCCGAGGTAGACTGGGAATAGTAGCCTCGTCTTAAGTCTTCGTGCAGCGGGATATTTGAATTGAGCAGTTCTGTCAAAGTTATACCACTACGAACACGGTACTAATTTTGTAAACATGAACAGAGCTGAATACGAGATGGCTATTTTAGCAATGTTTTCAAAAAATGCTTTGGAAGTGGAAGATGTTATGTTTCTTTTCGGTTGAAAAACAACATTTATATTCCATACAAGAACTATTCAAGATTTGACTTGAATATATCTTACTTTGAAAACTTCGTTTTGACCACAACGAACTTTGTCAAAATATTCATCCTAAACCAGGACAACAGGACGAAGACGTTAAACACTCACCGCTGACCTTAAGCAGAGTATACGCAAATGATGCGCAGACGTTAAAAAATTGTGAAGTTTGTCTTCGTCTTCGTAGTTCGTTGCCTTGCTCAAACTCCCTAATATGACACCGTACGGCGTACGGTTCGCAAAAATCAAATTAGAAGTCTCTTGGAATAGCCTAAACGGCTCAAACCGCGAAAATACTCGAACTGCGAACTGTTGAAAAATATGACATTTATATATTTATATATTTTTGCTCCGTTCTTTACATAAAAGCTGAACGTCCGAAGCAATGTCACAACTAAATATATACTTTATAAGTTTATTGCGAATATAATATTTTTTTATTATGTATTAAATATTTATATATTTATGATTGCTCCGTTCTCAAAATACAACAAAATAGATGCAGCAATGTCACAGCAATATTCCGAATATTTATAGATATGCATTTATGAATGCTCCGAACAGATTGACTGTTGTCATTATTTATTATTCCTTCGTTGTATATCACACAAAAGCTGAAACTGCCTGGTCTCGTGAAATATCATGTAAAGTGTCAGAATAATATATTCTGCCAGTATTTTTAATGCTTTGTTCTTAATGCTTTGTCTTAAAAGCGATGTTTTGCAAATTTTGGAAGTGGGGGAACACCGAACGCGTATTTTAAATTTCAATGGGCGTGGCCTATATATGGGCGTGGCCTGTAATAAGTTAATAGGTGATTTTAGGCATTGCCAAAATACTTTTATTAGATACACAATATCGTGTTGGTATACAAAGAGTAAATTCAAACTTATTATCTTGTTGAGACTATGTTCTGTATCAATGATATTTACTAGGTATATGGAAAATTTAAAATGTCTAAAGTAATTGCTAAAGTCGTTGTTTTGCGGCTGTCTGCTCCGCTCACTTTCAGCATCTTCCTCTAACTTTCGCTTTCTTACTCTTTCATCATTGGCCGAATGATGTTTTTGCAACCAGGATTTAGTATATTTATCTTTATTCCAAGCATTAATCGGAGGACCAACGAGTTTAATGAATATTAAATTTGATATTCGTTCAACAAGTAGGCGATTTCTTACTGACGTACAAAGCAAGTTCATTTTGACTAAACCCACGTTCGCATTCCGCCGATGAGACCGGGATACAGGAACATCTCAATAGAGGCTGGAGATCGTCAGGTACTCGTCTCCCTTGACTATCAACATAGTCTTGGAACGCAGGCACTGTTGAACTTCTTGGAGGGAAAACCGATCGCACAATGATCGTGCTTCTTCCTCACCGTAATTCAGATCAAGATCCTGTGGCCAATGTGTAACGCAAATCTGATCAAGAAGCTTATGATAGGCAGAACTTTCCAAACAGTTCCAGAAGCACATGTGGCAAAGAGACGATCTTTCATTGCATCTAGCAATTTTTCCATTAATTTTTCCATCATTGACATGTCTACGATTGGAAACTTGTGGTACAGTGCCAAATTTTCCTTCCTTGACCGCATCCTTTGCTGTCATCAACTTCGTTCCAGTCTTGCGTTTCAATGTTTCGATGCTTCTCATGAATTTCTCCGACTGGATTCGCTTGTTTAACCCCTCGTACATTGTCCTTTTCCAGCTTCTTTGTCTTTGAAGTGTTTGCAGAGTGCTTTGTAGTTGCTCCAAACTGTCAAAACCGTCCTGTGACTACTCGCAACACATCTCGCACTCATTATCTTAGCAATCTTAAGAAGCTGGACATCTAGACTTTTAGCCACTTCTCGTAGTTCGCGCACGTTGATTTGTTTACAGAGGACTGCTTATTATAAACGACGGTGACTTGGCATCTGTGAGGAAGATACGATTTGAACCATTCACAAACATTGAGAGGAAAAACCTTTATAGTGTGTCCCAGAGCCACGCCTCCACGAGGGAGCTCAATCCCCCTCTGATACTCCTTTACTTTAAAGACGATTTTGTATATATTTTATATTATATTTTATTAAAAAGCTGAAATTTACTGTCTCTTTCCCATATTATAACCTGTTCGTTCTTAGCTATTACAACGAGTAACAATTCTAATTCAAGAGTAACTTAAAACGCAGAGCCCAATACTAAAACCCCGAAACCCTAATAAGTTACTGCATATATATGGCGTAGAAATGACTTAGGCCCCTTTCAAACATCGACTATTCATGTTCAGAACCTAATGTTAATGAGATAAAGTCTTTGCTTAAGTTCATTTTGCACTGGATTTGGGACATGAAAAATTCGACGTCTGAAACGAGCTTAACTTGCACTAATGTGTTGTACCTAAGGTCCCGTTTCCACGTAGTTTGATACAAGTTTAACCAGAAAATGTTTAGTTAGTTGGGAGCATTCTTTGCAACATATCTAGCTGTAGCAAAGAGTATTTTTAATGTGTTTACTCAGTTACAGTTACAGAAAACTATCTAAAAAGTTAAAAATTGGTTGAAGCGCAAGGTCTCGACAATGATTTTTTGTAGCTTCGTTATTTGAATAGAATCTTTCGAAATATTTTGAATATTATGCAAAAGTAAAAGCAATTTATTCGTAATATTTAAAAAATCCTGCCTATTAGCCCTCCCAAATCTCCAGTAGATTAGTAGCCTGTGCACTGACGTAATTTATGAGGGAGCGTTGCGTCTGTGCACAGGCTAGTTGATTAGTGAAAATGAGGTAGATCTCCATATTTTCACGAGACGCAAATCCAAGTGAAAATGCTTTTTACGTGTTTATATCACTTTAAAAAGCTTATAATTGATAAACCATACAACCTTCTTATATAATAGTATTATAAGAATTATTATCCTGACTGTGTCTCTTCTTTAGGGGATTGTGAAGTTGATATTTAAAGACAACAATGGATCCATTGAAAGCCAAAGCTAATTATTCCAGGATATGTCATTTGTTGGTAGATAAAGGTGGAGATGTTTTGAGAAATGCTTTGCATGCGGTGCATCCACCTTCCACCTTAGCTTCCGTATTGAATGCAAACAAGAAGACCTTACAGAGAATACGATACAGTGTAATTAAAGCCTCGCAATGGGATCTACTCTTCCCAAGATCTGGTTCACCTGATTCAAAAAACTTTGATATTACCCTATTGACTGTCCTACTACGAAATATTTGTGGATTGTCCGCACCAGCCACCGGATGGAATGTTATGCCTCCAGTCAGCGATACTTCTATATCTGCAAATATTTTAAGAGTCAAAATGTTCAGAAATGAAGTCTATGGTCATATTCCGACTGCTGGTTTGGACGATGTAACGTTTGAAACATTGTGGCAAGAAATTTCTGTTCCCTTAGTCAAATTGGGAATTCCTCAAAATGATATTGATGAATTAAAGGTGGCTCCTCTTAGCCCTGAAGAAGAAAGTTATATTGAAAGATTGAAAGAGTGGAAACAACAAGAGGATGATTTTATGTCAAAATTAAGTGATGTTGAAAGTAAAGTAGTTAAATTAACTAGGAAAGTTGAAAATGTTCATCCCTCGCATGTCGAGCAACTGGCTAAATTTAACTTTGCTGGAAAGATTCGTGACCTTTCTAGAAAATTTCAAGATGGCACTAGAAAATGGTTGTTTGATAAACTTTCAAGTTGGTTTGGGAGTGAAAAATCCAGGGTCTTCATCTTAACTGCAGGTCCAGGCGTTGGAAAAAGTGTTTTGTCTGCAAAGCTTTGCGAGCTTTTTAGAGAACGTGGTCAACACGCAGCTCACCATTTCTGTGACTTTCGAAATTCTGATTACAGCAATCCTCAGAGAATCCTCCAGTCCCTTGCCAGTCAAATGTGTGATAATGTTGAAGGATTTCGTGATAAACTGACTGAAATTCTTCGTCGTGAAAATTCTCGTGACTCGCTGTCAGACGCATTTCGTGTTCTTTTAAACGACCCCCTCCATGCCCTTGACGGACACGATCCAATGTTGATCATCGTTGATGCTTTGGACGAGAGCAAAACTGACGAAAAAAGCGAATTATTGGAGTTGATATCTGAGAGATTTTGTGAACTGCCTGATTGGATTAAGATATTCATTTCAAGTCGACCAGAGCTACAAGTACGAAATAGTCTTGAACATCTTCACCCGTGGGAAATCCGTCCTGATGACGAAGATCACAACCACGACATAGAGCTTTTCGTTCGTCATAGTTTACCTAATCTTGATGATAAAAGTATAAGGTCAGTTATTTCAAAGTGTAAGGGATCGTTTTTGTACGCTTATTACTTAGTCATTGAATTGAAAGAAAAGGGCGTGGGAATTGAACCCGACCTAAGTGATTACATCTCCAACGGTATTTCGGGATATTACGAAAAGCAGTTCAAACGTTTAGACATAGGCCTCCAACATTTCAAACAAGATACCTCATGTCTCTTAAACAGTTTCATCAATGTCGTTGCCGTTTCTAAGGAAGCGCTCCCAATAAAAGTTCTCTTCGCATGCATGGGTCTCTCTAAAGACGATTTTAAAATCCGTAAAGCGGTTCTTGACCTAATGTCAGAGATTCTTCCAGTTTACGATGGGTGTCTGACTGTTTATCATAAGTCATTATGGGATTGGCTCACATTGAACGGTTATGAAGAACATGCATTCGTTGCAGATGTTGAAGACGGCAATAGACGTCTCTGGCGTGCTTGTAGGGAACAATTCTACGAGATAGATGCTTTGAAGTCAGTTTTAGAATTCCAAATTTCAGCCGAGAATATGTACGCTTTAGAAAATGGTTTCAAATATTTGGTCCATACAGGCGAGGTAGAGGAATTTCATTGGTTGGTGCATGTTGGTATAAACTTCTTAAAACTAAAATTTTTTGATGAGTTGAGCGGGGATTTTTTAATGCGAATTCTTGGCACGAACCGTTCTAAACTTTCCAAAGATATTTATTGGGGTCTCATTCAACACGTTTGTTTCTTCAAAATGGTACATATTAGCTATATGTCTGATAGATTTAACGTTTATAAAAAGGAACATTGTTACGTATATTTGCAAGCACTCGCTAATGGGCACTTTAATTTTTTACAAGGTGCCGTCAATTCCAAAAGTGTAGCTAGGGACATCTTGGGTGGGACAAATGAGATTTGGATAGAATATGTGACAACGGAAAGCCATTCTAATGTAAGCATTGTCCCCCAAACTGTGTTTACAGAGGATTCATTTTCTGATGTTTTAGCGTCACCGGATCAGACGATGCTTGCTTGCATAGCTGCGGATGAGGGAAAATTTCAAATGCTTAAAATACCAGATTTTACAACAATCTTTGAGGCACAAATTACTATTGAAAGAGGTCTTTGCGAATTCTCTGCCTTTTCTCCAGACTCTTCATATATTTTATACGATTCAATCCGATTCTGCATCAATATTAAAGAAAAGAAAGAGGTCCCCTTCATTACGCACGGCCCCAATGACATCAGTTACTGTTCATTTTCTTCATGTGGAATGAAACTTGTCACATTAGGGAGAACGTCAATCAAAGTGTGGGATGTAAAAAGCAAGAATATATTGGTTGAAGTTGAGAATGTGTATGGTTGGTGGTCTTATTGTTTGTTTAGTAATTGTAACTCGTACATTCTTCTTTGGCCAATGCGTGAGGAAAGAACTGGTTCTCCAGTCTTGAATTACATGAACGTCTTGAATTCTGAAACTTTAGAAAAGATTGATAACAAGAATATTCGTGTTGACCAGAATTTTTGTAGTAATGATTCCTTTCAAATATTTTCCCCGCCTGATTCGTTTTCCGACTCGAATGTTAAAATGAAAATGAATTATATCTGTTTGCCATCTGGTGAGAAAGTTATAATTTCCAATAAATATTGTTCAAAAGTTTTTTTGTGGAAAAACAGAAAGTGTGTAGCATTTACAAATGATTTGAAAAATGATTTCGCTTTAGTAGTGTTCGATTTCATAAATCAAAAGATCGTTGACGTGCTTGAGATTGGATTTTTGCCTCATGATACTCCTGTCAATTACATTTCGAAATTAGATGGGACGAGTTTCCTTTTATCTTTAAGATTTCCCAAAGTACTCAGTGTTTTATCCTTCAAATCTGTTCTCGAATGGCCTGATGCTACTTTTGTTGACAATGCCAAAATAGAGTGTCGTGCTCTCTCTCCAGACACTTCGTATGTCGCGTGCTGTTTTGAAAATTGCCTTCTTTCAATAAGAAGTGTCGATAGTGGGGAAACATTGCAAACTGCTGCACTGAAACAACGAGCATTAGCATGTTGGTGGTCAGAGTCGTATCTTTGGTTGGTCTGTGAAGGTCTGGTTGTTAAACATCGTTATGAGCCTAGGAGTGAAAATATCTTAGGAAGTCAACATGAAGAATCTATTGTAAATTTTGAACGTGTCCTTACCTTTAAAAATGGAGTTCTTGTCATTTACGGCGATCGGAAACTTTCTATTTTAAGAATTTGTAACGAAAAACTGTGTTGTCAAGAAACGCCGTCATGTAGGTTTACTGACCCTTTTGTTGCAATAAGTTCTGATGGGTGTGCTGTTATGTTATCTGATTTCATTTCGTGTTATGAATTGTGGGAAATAAAATGTGGCAACACGTGGATTGTACGTTCAACCGGAGAGTTGAATCTACCGCCTCTTCGGTTTATGAAGATGATCGATCCACAGGGTAATGAAATTGTTCAACCTAAAACCGGAAAACCGGATCTTTGGTGGTCGTTTTTATCTGATACAAAAACGACTCGCAATGCAGTGTTGTTGATAAGACATACTGAAAGTTATGCGCTTAATATTCCTTTACTTTCTATTACTTTCCCAAATGATGTCCAAAATTTTCATAACCTTCCTATTGAAAAGTTTAGAATGGCTGTTTATATCGATTCTGATTTGATCGCTATTTTCGCCAGTGAATGGATACATTTTGTTAAGGTGTCGGATGGCAGAATTATGGCTTCCAGACACTTTCGTAATCTTCACTTTTTTAGCAGTGCATCTCCTCCTTATCCATCTCCTTTCTTTCTTCCATCAACGCGTTCCCTTCTGTTCGTTGACAGAAATGGCAACAAATATTTCAAAATTCATAATATTGAAAAGTATTTCTAAGATTTCCTTTCTTGATGTAAGTAGTTTAGAATCTGATTTCCTGTTTAAATGCTAAAACCACGCGTAAATCAAAACGTTCAGCTATGAAACGTCCTGAAATGCGAAAACCACGGAAATCGTTGAAACTTTTTTTTTAGTTTTTCCTTTCGTGATGTAAATTGTTGAGCATGGAATTTCTTGTTTTAACGGCGAAACGCACGCAAATTGTCTGATATATATATTTTTTTAAAAAAAAGCCAATTAACTTTAACATAGTCAACGGATTTAACACGGAATACGTCTTTGAAAACGTTTGAACTGTGTAATTTTGATACAAAAATATTTTTAAATATATTTTGTATCCAAGAGATTTTCCTGCTGTGTGTTTTTATAACCTGCGTGGGAGATTGATTAATTCTCATACTTCCTTTGTGTACTTGTGATAAGCGTACATGAATATCCAGCCTCTTACTTGTTAAGCGATCAGTTTATTCTACACACAGTGATTCAGTATAATAGCCCTCTTTACTTGCTTCACTGTTCCTAACGAAGACGATGAACGAAAAATCCTTCTATAATTAACCTGGATCATTATTACATGTTTTTCCGCTTTGGATAAAAAAAGGCTCTGAAAGAAAAAAAAATTACGCTTGTGACAAAAGGAATACATTTTCAATTGTTTATGTTATTTTCCTGAACGTCAAAGGTGTAGCTGTCTTTATGTCACTAGATAGGAAAACATGATTTCTTCCATTAGAAATTAAAATCTAAAGGAAAATATTTTCGTAGCCAGGCAAACGACGCTATAAAATGAAGAATATTTTTGTTCATCTTTCTTCATTTTGTCAGAGACTTGAGTGAAATGAATATCAAGGAAGGTTTAGGTCCAATGATTTACCTGATCTAAAATAGCTGGAATGTGTGACGAATCGTGGATATCTTTACCTTTAGAATATTTAGTTCCTTTTTTGTCAGGCACATTTTTATCAGAAGTTTTTAGCATTCCATTTTTATATTTTAAAGCAATTTTTTGAAGCTCCTCTGGAAGATAAAGCACACGAACCTATTGGGAAAAGAGCAAGAAGCCTGTGGCGAAGCTCAATTTCTTGGTGTAGTCAGGCTATAATCAGATCTTAATTTTTTCGAATATCAAAATCATATTTATTTTACATCACAAGATACAAAAGACGAACTTTCCTGCAATCAAAATATAGAAGTAAACAAATTATTCTGGAATTTTTACAGTAGGAAACCTGACTAGCCTCGTTTTTGTGTATCTCGCAATAGGCCTCTTGCTCTACTTCGAATAGGTCCATGCATAGTGATGTGAACCCGCGTCATGATGTAAGGCGCGGATTGCATGGGCGAGGCTGGCACGTTCCTTATAGTTTATTATAGTCAATTCAAACGTTTCGGTTAAATGCAACCGGGTCAGCTCGGGCTGTGGTTGTGTCAAGCGGGCCAGCTAGGCTTGCCGATATGGGCGTAGCGATTGGGCAGGGAGGGTTGGTGTGAAGGGTGTGACACCCTCTGATAATCCAGCATGATAAAAAAAGTTGGTCAAATTGCTTTGTCATTTGGAAGCAAATTGAACAAACATACAACAACATTTGTTTCAGTATTTATGAATATTTAAGGCTCGTGATTTTCATAGAAACCAAGTTGACCAATTTCCTACACCGATGTCATACACCAATTCTCATTTTAAATTATCAAAAATGGGTCAATATTACGTGACACCCCCATCCAATCCTAGCTTGTTTGCCACGCCCGTGCTTATTTGAAGTTTCGTTTCAGGCCGGCAAACTGACCTAAAAGCACAAGAATAAATATCATACTTTAAAACCTAGGAAGGATTAACATTTACAGAATTAATTTAAAAAAACGTTCGCTAAAATATCATACTGAAATCTCTCATGTAATCGTTTGCTCGGCAAACGTGCTATTTCGGTCCATGTAATCAGCCCCTAAATGGTCTGATTAAATGTTGATTCGTCAATATCAGCGACAGCGATTACTCATGGATGCAGTGATTTCGCAGTGGTAGTTTCCTATTTCTCTAATGTGATATTTATATTATTGTATAACCGTGAAGTTACAAGATAAAAGTATTTGTCATGCACATGCACGATATAATTTACCACGTATGTTTTTCTATACTCCATATAAATACAATATATAAACATTTTTAAATATTTTATCTCTGTGGTCAAAGCAAGTATTAGTTAAGTAAATTAGCTTGTAGGTACACCACGTAAGTAAGTATTGTAGTTGCTTGTAGTTTAAATATGACTCGATGCTGTCGTTGTAACGGGAATGGACGGTGTAGACAAAGAATGTGTTTGTGCTGAGAGCGATCGAGTTTGCACTAATTGTAAGCCTGGAAAAAACAAACGATTTGAAAATAAAAAAGCAGCTCGTCATTTTGTTGAAACTGTTATGTTTAAGAGAAAACTGTATTACGTATAATCACTATATCATCTTATAAAATTTATATATAATATACTCATATAAACATATGGCATTCTCTTCAGTCAGACTTGCATGCATGAGTAAGCAAATATAGCTATCCACGCCTTATCCCACAAACGCGTAACAAGGTGTCGACCACAAACCACGATATAGAATGCATGTGCTATAACGTACTGTATTGCGTAGGAGAAATCACTTATAGTTTTAGTGTAGCCAAGCGTATAAAGTCTGAGCGCAACCAACCACGGGCAGAGAAATGCGTATAGCATTCTTCGTAAGGCCTCAGTGCCTAAATATTATATTATTGTAAAAGCAGAAGTATTAAACAAAAGGAGTTAAAGTTGAAGTCAAGGCTTTGTGGAGTCGTGCTCAGACAGAGATAAGTCAAACGTTTAAAGATATATTATATTCTTTTAAGGTCATAATCTTATAGAGACGTTAATTACTGTTATTTGAAAGTTAAGGAATAAATAGTTATATAAATATAATTGACTCACACTGTGTTTGTTGCGAGTAGAAACAGAACCAAAAGCGAGTATTATCAAAGTTTATAGGACCGCGCTCGTAACAACTGCTTCTGACATCGCAATCACCCAATGTTTGCTTTTGTTTTTCTGTATTAAAGGTAGAAAGGAAATGGCACAAATTAATTCTGAAAGGCATATTTAATTGCTATTAAAATTAGTAAGATGGCTCCAGACGGTTTTAGCTAAGATAAATAATGCAATATTTTGGTACTTTTTTATCAAATGATACATTTTCTGCAAAGAGACCTCGGTCCGATATCGATCTCTTGATAAGAAGTTACTAACTCACCCCCAGTAAGGTTAAAAATAAGTCAGGAAAACTGAGGAATTTCACTTGCACGTCAAGGAATACTTAGCAATTATTGAATAAGGTTGAACATGATATGAAGAATTATCAAGCCGAAGTTTGTCATTATCAACCGAAGCCGAAGGCTGAGGTTGATAATGACAAACTAAGACTTGATAATTCTTCATATCATGTGAAAACCGAATTCAATAAATGTTTTATTATTTATTTAAAAGAACAAACATGTATTCCTCAAAGTTGCCGAACCTTTCACTTGAGGAAGCCATTGTGTTGATGTCTTCGCCATTCGTGTGACGTCAAACGTGGGATACGACTATTTATCACACTAAAAAAAGTCGTATCACACGTTATGACGTCACACGTTGGATATGACGATTTCACATATGGCTATTAGCCAATCACAGACTTTGAATTCTTTTAAATAAATAATAATTGAATTTATTCCACAGACAGTAAACTGTCGCTAGTTTGATAATTGTTATTTATGAATTATGTGGTCAAAAAACAAACGAATTAGTTCGTCAAATTTCTTCGGGTAAAACGATCTTTTAATAGATACTGATATCCGCTCTGTTGTACTTGGAATAAAAAGGTATTACTTTGTTTTTATTGTGTAATATTGAATCATTTTATATTAAATTTTTCAGCATTCTCGTTCCTACGGCTACACCCTAAAATATTTATCAATAATTGATTATCAATTCAAGATCATACCGAAAATGTATACCGAGAATATTTCAATCTATTAATAAATAATACAATAAATTAGCAACATTATATGAACTGTTTAACATTTAGAATCTTAGAGATTTTAATGATGAACACACCACACAAACATGCATGCAACAACATGATGCATAGCTGATCGATAGCTTGGTCTGAGTTGAGTCATTTTGTGAAACACTATATAACACTTAATTCCCACAATGTGCCAGCCATATAATGTTGGCTGTTTCTCTTTACATGTCATGACCAAATCAAATTGTGGACAAGATACTTCTTGTCAGATTCAGGGTTACGATTACAGACAGGTTTTGGTTGGTCAAATATGTTGAATAAACACTAGATTGCTAGCAGTTGCGATACTTATCGTGCATGGAAGGCGAGCTTTTTGTTAAGTTTTTAGCCAGATGTAGACGTAATGTTTAGTCACTCTTAATTTAGACGCTGTGAAGTTCCCATAAGAAAGCTTATATTTTGAAATGTAATTATGTTAAACCCAATGAAACATGGTTTCAGATGTAGGATTGTGAACAGCGTTGTTTTAGTTTTACTCGGGAAGACATTCCATCGTACTATATAAGCAATGTCTGATAGTGATACAGATCAAGACATGCAGGCTTGAAGTCGAAGGCAAAAGCCAAAGGCAAAGCGGAAATTTCATATTCTAAAAATACTATGGCAGTATTTCATCGAGGATGGGAGACTTATGTTTTGGTCTGTATAGTTTCTCGATTAGATGAATGCGAAGAGCAATTCAAGAAGTGAAGACGCATTTTGTTAGTAATTAGCCATGATCCGCCATTTTGGTTTCACTCATTAATGAGGGAAAGTGAGTGGGAAAGTGAGAGAGCTAGCGTTCCAGTGTTAATTGAGTTCACTGGCCCTCGCAAGGCGGCTCGGCTAAGTGAGTGATTGGCGGATAAATGCTAAGTTTAAAGATGTGCTCAACCAACAAAAATGTTCCCGCTGTCTGTGGGAAAAAATTGCGGATGCTTAGGGATACAATGTGATAAATATAATAATTACATTATGTTTATTTTTATTAAGTCAGTGACTTTTTATTAATTGTTTTTGATCTTTTTAATTTTTTCAACTCAAATTATCTACTCACATAATTATTGTTGTAGAATTTTCTTGCTATTACGTACTTATAATCATACATTCTACATTACTTTTCTAAAAAGCTACAACATAAAAAATAGGTACGCAGCGCGTACATGTGACTACCACTCTGTCTTTGTCATCTGAGTGGTAT